TCTATCAGCTTCAGTTAACTTGTGGACTGATAGTTGAGCTTTCGAAAGCCTCTATAATCTAGAGTGCAGTAAGAGGAAAACGTCATCACAATTCTCGTGATCCCTCGACTTAGAATGCATTTGGAGACCTATTCATTTTCTTGTGGGACAACTCAACCATCAGTTCTTAAATCGTCCTAACCGATCTCGATAGACTAAGTTTCTATTCAGATGTTGCAAAGTCTCTTTACTCTGCACACGATAATTCGGTGGCGGCTGTGCCTGTCTTTGCAGGCATTGAAGATGCTTTCCTCTCCATCGAAAGCACGATTGGGCATGCTGCTGCTAAGTCGTGAATGACCAACTTCTGCGTGCCAATTTCTTGTAACGCTAATGCAGACGAGGAGTTTAGGGCGCTGAGGCCTTTATTTCACTCGCAGTGTGTCCTCACTGTATCGATACGACTTGTTTTTTTCGCAGCTAAGCTATACCCTGCTCGGATTTGCAATATCATGTAACCTTGGGCTCTACGAATAAAGAGTTTTATATTCATAAAATGGATAGAGGGTGGAGTTTAGGCAGATGTGTTTGGCCTCAATTGCCAATTTGGAAAGTTGGGGTTGGTTTTTACTTTCTTTTCTTATTCGGCATAATAGAGTAGTTCCACTGAGGGCCACAAATGCAATGGACTTGGACATCCTCCGTGGCCCGGATCTTTTGACTTTATTTCTCGCATTGGGAGCACAAGTCACCCGATCGTAAAATAGTCGCACTATTCCTGTTCATGCTTGAAACTTAGTGGGACGACTTTGGCAGAGCTATGTCGGGACAAGCTATTTTCATCGAAAATCGGCGACAATCTGTCCTCTCTACATCGGTCCTGGGGCGGCACGATCTTCCCATCATCAACTCCCAGGGCATGGCTGCCTCGGGTGAATGAGGATTCATCTGGATCAATGTACAGAGTGTCTTTTGGGTGCGTCGTAATTCGATCGACATTGGCACGATAGGTTGATCTCTAAGGTAAGACCTTACCTTTATCGATCAGGCAGACGACTTTTTTCAATTGTGCTCGCAGTTCTGAAGTGCTGCATTGTTGCTTATTGATGCAAGTTGAGCTATGAGATAAGCACTAATAATGCGTATATTTGACGGGAGGTCTACCCGGGCCTGGCCAAAGTGGAAGAAAGAAGAGTTTGTCCTAAATATCGAGTGAACACAAGGCATTTGAATGTCAGGCTTTAGTACTGCCCTCCACAACGGCGGTGTTGGTTCATAAGAGTATAGATCTGGTTGTTCGCCACGAACAACGGAATAAAACTTGCATACGGCTAGCGTTTTTATGAAAGGTCCTTTTTTTCCAGTCCTGGCAGGTATGTGTTGTCACCGATCATTTGGAGCACCATCTTTGAATGTCTCAATCAACACATCTGTCCAAATTCAGTTTGTAGACCATGCGTTTCGGCTATTCACTTGATTGATCTATTGTGTGTAAAGGTTGTCCAGGTTACACGAGTGAGACTTTGTCGGACCAATACCTTTAATATGCGATAGTCTGAATGGACTTAAAGTTCCGCATGGCCAACACAGGTGGTTCAAACCGTCGCTAGCCGCCTTTTTCTAACTGCTTACTGCACAGAATGGTCCATCCATCCGAGATAACATCTAGGGGGTGCAAGTGTGAGTCGGTCAATGGTCACGTAGGCTACCAATCTTATGGCGATTTTTACTATATCTGATTTCAAATGAAATAGCCATTTAGAGATGCCTTGATTGACCCCACTTGGAGACGACCACGTGTTTCCTTCGGTTTGTTATTGTTTGAATTCATCGGAAAGTCTGTGTTGACACAGTCCTTTAGACACCGGTTACAGTGAAAGGGGACAGGGATTTAATCTGTACGATAGCACACACCATGACAAGGAACGTTTTTTATCTCAATCACCAGCTTACAACATATTAAGAAGACCAATAGGTCAATTATTAGTTGCAAAGAAGAGTTGGTTTTCTATGACTCTCTTGCTTTAAATTATTGAGTTCGATTCGATTTCGAGTAAAAGCGTTTGTTGAAGAACTTCGATAGTCGATCCCACCAGAAGACGACGGCGGATTGTTTTCCATCAACTGTCGCTTGGCTTTATTAGAAAATATTTTTTTCATTGTTCTCAGGGAGACCATGTAGAACGCATCTAGTCCGAAGTCGTCTGGCATAGTAGTTGTCATGATTCCCAGCATCCGACAGTGGACTTGATACATTCTCAAACGTTT